GTGTGTGTGTGTGTGAATGTGTCTGTAAAACAAAGTCAGTCAAAGAGACACATAAAACTTAATTTAACCTTATTGTCTTTGTCTGTTATGTTTCCTGTGTGTGTTTTGTAGATGCTGTTCATTGTGATCGACGTGACACAAGCCATTTCTCATGTGCTGAAATACTTTGGCGTGTCCGAGAGCGATGCCCCGACTACACGCGTCATCAACATGGAGACAGGACAGAAGTTCACCGTCGCTGCCGGGGACCTCACAGCAAAGTCACTGGCACAGCTGTGTCAGGAGGTTGTGGATGGCGTTGCCAAGGTAACACACACACACACACACACATGCACCTGTTTCATATTCAGTCACACAGCAGCATTAAAGCCAGTAACTTGTCTTGTCTTTGTGGTGCAGCCCTACTATCGGTCTGAAGAGATCCCAGAGGACTGGGATAAAGGACCGGTCAAGGTCCTGGTGGGGAAGAATTTTGAGTCTGTTGCTTTGGACCCGACCAAGAACGTCTTTGTAGAGTTTTGTAAGTCAGTTTGTCTGCTTGCCTGAGTTTACACTGTAAAGACTTTAATGACATCCATCTTTTATCATCACACTCAGTGGTTCGCAACCTGGGGGTCAGGACCCCCACTAGGGGTCACCAAAGCTTCATGCGGGGGTCGCAAAGACTTCTTGATTTTAAGGGACGTAAGAACATTTTAAAAAGCTTCAATTTTGACAAATTAAAAATATCAGGAAAACTAATCTCTGATCAAAATTCATCAGAATTGCTCCATAAAATATGTCACTTAGTCAGGGCCCCTCAGTTTAATCATAGAAAGGGGGTCCCTGAAGGAAAAAGGTTGGAAAGCACTGATGAAACTCAATCAAACAGTAAATTTTGAATAGGCTGTTTCCTTTTTCAAACATTTTCAGCATTAGCTCCTCAGATATAATTTCATTAACATATAATCACCTGAAACATTTTGAATGGCCAAGAACAGACAATGCAAACACTGGCTCTAGACCTTTCACATTTTGCCTTCTCCTACACAGTTACAGGGAGAAATATTCATGTGGTGGCACAAGGGTGGCACAGAAACTTTAATAGAAGCAGAAATATATTCCGATTTAATTATACATGTCAATATTTGCTTGGAAAAGACCTCAAATGAAGATATTTCAACTCAAAAACATTACATTACTGTGGCACATTAGTAAAGCATTGAATAGAAATATCTAAAGGTGGCATTAGGAATCGATAAATTGTTTTATTTCCAAATCTTCTGATATTTTTCCCAAATTCATTCATTGAACTTAAGGCTATCACTAAATAATGTCTGTTTCTGACATGGTTTTTTTATTATTATTATTATTTTTTTATTAATCTAAATTTGTTAAATTTGGCAGCATTTGACAAAATACTGTGGGGCCAGGCATTTTCTAAGGGTTGCCACCCATCAAGATCCACTCCTGCACACTTGTAAAAGGTTGAGCTGTATTCAGATGGTTCCAATCTGCAACTTCACTGCAAGATGTCACAAAATCCTACAC